TACCACCTTATGCTCTGCTGGCCTAGAGGTCTTAGTTCCAGCGGGAGGAATGCTGCCGCCAGGAGACACAGCGATGATGCATTGCACTGGAAGTTTAGGCTGCCACCTGGTGGTGCCAAGCTCCTCATGCCTCTGGATCAAGAGGTAAAGAAGGAGTTATTATGCTGGTGGGGGTGGCTGACCCAGACTGCCAAACAGAAACGGCACTGCTGCTTCACAATAGACTGGGGAAGAGCATGTCTGGGATACAGGAGGGCCCTTGGGGCATGCGCTGTGATTAAGATCAATGGAAAAGCACAGCAACCCAAGCTAGGTAGGATTAGTAATGGTCCAGAACCTTCATGAATGAAGGTTCCCCACCAGGTGAAAAACCACAACCAGCGGAGGCTGCCTGAAGGCAAAGGGAATACAGACTGGGGAGTGGAAGAAGGTAGTTATGGAACCATGTGACCACTGACAGAAACCAGGACTGGAATTGTCATGAATGTTTCCTCCTTATTTGGTACATGTGTGTGTCTGTGTGTTTGTAGTTTTGAAAGAAAACATAGGAAGAAATCTTCATAACTCAAGGTTAGGGAAAGAGTTCTTAGACATGATGCCAAGTGCACCATTAATTAGACTTGATCAAAATAAAAAATATAGCAAAAGACACTGAAAAGACAGCTACAGGCTGGGAGAGAATATCTGCAAACCATACATCCAACAAAGAAATTACTCGACATATCACATGATTCGCAAACATATGATTCTTAGTGAAGGCAGCCAGTTACAAAGATCCCATGTTGTGTGTCTCCAGTCAAGACAACAGTGTGACAGGGATGGAAGGCACATCACCAGTCAGCAGGGTTGGGTGGGGAGGGCTGGACTCCAGCAAGAGGGGTGCTGCTCCTCAACATCCTGACTGTGGAAACCCACACTTGTGAGAATTCTCAGACCTAAACATCTCTTTAAAATGGGATCAGATGGGGAAATAAAATTAACATTTTTTGTCATCTGTTTCATATCAGTCACCACATGTACACTTGTGACCCTTGAACAACACAACTCTGAACTACATGGGTCCACCTATATACAGATTTTTTTCTTTTTCTTTTTTCTTTTTCCTTATTTATTTATTTGAGTCAAAGTCTCACTCTGCTGCCCAGGCTGCAGTGTGATGGTGTGATCTCTCTGCCTTCCGAGTTCAAGCAATTCTCCTGCCTCAGCCTCCAGAGTAGCTGAGATTACGGGTGCTTGCCACCACTCCCTGCTAATTTTTTTTTCTTTTTGTATTTTTAGTAGAGATGGGGTTTTGCCATGTTAGCCAGGTTGGTCTCGAACTCCTGATCTCAGGTGATCCACTCAACTCGGCCTCCCAAAGTGCAGGGATTACAGGCATGAGCCACCATACCCAGCTGATTTTTTTTCTTAGAAATATTTTTAATGAAATCTTTTTAGATAGACACAGGGTTTCACTATGTTGTTCAAGCTGGTCTTGAACTCCAGGACTCAAGTAACCCTCCCACCTTGGCCTCCCAAATTGCTGGGATCACAGGCATGAACCACCACACCTGGCCCAGGTTGTTTTCAATAAATAGAACATTATTTGGAGATTTGAAACCATTTGAAGAAACCTGCAGGTGAACATTGTAGCCTAGAAATATTGAAAACGTTAAGCAAAAGGTATGTCATGAATGCATAAAATATATGTAGATACTAGCCTATTTTTATCATTTACTACCATAAAGTATACATAAATCTATTATAAACAGTTAAAATTTATCAAAAGCTATGCACACCAGTACATGGTGCCATCAGTCAAAAGAAACATCAATGTAAAGATGCAGTATTAAGTCGTAACTGCACAGGTTAATGGGAGCGCACTGTATCACTGGAGTAATTCTGCTGCCACTCCTGCTACTATTGCAGTGAGCTCGTGTCGAGAGTGTTCACTTCAACTGCCATGTGACACTAGCCGTCTCTGCGGAGCACCTGTCTCTCCTGTAGATTGTGTGTCACAGCGAAACGTGATCCTTCATGGTTCTTATGTATTTTTCATGTTTAGTGCAACACCGCAAACCTGAAGAACACAATGGGATGCAAAGTGCCACTGGTGATGCTGGACATGCTCCCACGAAGCAGAGAAATGTCTTGGCAGTACAAGTGAACGGTGGATCGACTGACATGTGCTGTAGACGAAGGCCCGCAGCTGCAGTTTCCCACCATTTCAAGATAAATGATCCAGCCTAAGAACCCTTGTAAAGAAAGAAAAGGAAATTCACAATGACTGCAGCCATGCCAGCAGATGTGAAACCTTGCTCTTTTTGCCAAATACCTTTTTATCTAGTCTTGAAAATGCATCTTTTGTTTGGATGTAGTAGCTCATGCCTGTAATCCCAGCACTTTGGGAGGCCAAGGCAGGAGGATCACTTGAGCCCAGGAGGCAAAGGTTGCAATAAGCCAAGATCACACCACTGCACTCTAGCTGGGAGCGATGCCTTATCTGAAAAAAGAAAGAAAGAAGGAAGAAAAGAGAGAAAGAGAGAGAAAATGCAGCTTTTATGTGGGTGCAGGATATCTATAAGGAAAACATATCAATAGACTCTAATATGATTCATGAAAAACCGATGTCATTATATGACAACTTAAAGCAAAGGATGGTGGAGGATGATGACTTAAAATTATGAGATTTACAATTTTGGAGAGGCTAAAGTACAGTGGCACAATCATGACTCGCTGCAGCCTTGACCTCCAGGGCTCAAGCAATCACCAGCCTCAGCCTCCCAAGTAGCTGGAACTGCAGATGCGTGCCACTGTGCCTGGGTAATTTTCAAACTTGTTTTGTAGAGACAGGGGTCCCACTATGTTGCCCACCTGGCCTCAAACTCTTGAGCTCAAGCAGTTCTCCCACCTTGACAGTCTAAGGTGCTGAGATTACAAGAATGAGCCACTGTGCCAGGCCAGGAGCCTTATTTTATTTTATTTGTATTTAGTTATTTATTTAGGCAGTGTCTAGCTGTGTCATCAAGGCTGCAGTGCAGTGGTGCAATCTCAGTTCACTGAAACCTCTGCCTCCCAGATTTAAGTGATTTTTCTGCCTCAGTCACCTGATTAGCTGGGACCACAGGCACATGCCACCGCAGCTGGCTAATTTTTGTGTTTTTAGTAGAGATGGGGTTTTGCCATAATGGCCAGGCTGGGCTCAAATTCCTGGTCCCAAGTGATCCACCTGCCTCGGCCTCCCGAAGTGCTGGGATTACAGGTGTGAGCCATTGCACCAGCCCAAGAGCCTTATTTCTTAGAAGGGTTGCCGCCTGCAGACTGGCCGTCTTGACAGGCTGGGAAGTGTAGCCTCCAGCAATGACCAAAAGCAGACACTTCCAGGGACAGAAAGGTGAGACAGAAAGTTATGCTGAAAGGGTTGGCTAAATGTACATATTCAACAACTTATAGAACGATCTATGAATATTCAGGAAGGGGTGATACACAGCTATTTTCCATGTTACATATGCCCCATGTTCATTCTGGGGTGGAGACAACATTTAAATGCATTAAAATTGGGCCCTATATGTGAAAAGGTGAAGCAGAGGGTTTGAAGGCACATAGTGCACAGCCTTCCTACTGGAGAAAACTGTGTCAGATTTACAACAGAGACAATCAAGGAAATCATAAAAGAGAGTGTGCCTATGGCAAAACAGGTGGGGAATGGAGGCTTTCAGGACATGGACCTGGAGAAAGAGCGAATAGACATCACCCCAGAGGAACTAACAGAAGACCACTCGATGGAGATGAGTGCTTTCGAATCAGTGTCAGATCATGAGGAAGAGGATGTAGAAGCCGTGCCAGAAAACGAGTTGACATTTGACAATCTGGCAGAAGGTTCCGATTATTCGAGACTGCTTGTGACTTCTTTTACCACATGGACCCGTCTATGATACGGGCACTGAAACTAAAGCAAATGGTGGAAGAAGCATTGGTCCCATGTAGAAACATTTTTAGACATGAAAGAGCAAAAATGTCAGAGAGAAATTATGATAAATTTCCGTACAGTTACACTTAGCGTGCATGCCTCTCCTGCCTCCCTTCCTACCTTTTCTGCCTCTACCATCCCTGAGACAGCAGGATCAACCTCTTCTCTTCTTCAGCCTACTCAATGTGAAGATGACATAGATGAAAACCTTTATGATGACCCACTTCCATTAAGTGAATACATTTTCTTCCTTATGATTTTATTAGCTTACTTCATTGTAAGAATACAGTATACAATAGAAATCACATATAAAATATGTTAATTTAGTGTTTATGTTATTGGTAAGGCTTTTGGCCAACAGTAGGCTATTAACAAAAGTTGTGGGCAGTTGAAAGTTCTATGTGGACTTTTGACTGTGTGGAAGGTTGGCACTCCATCTCCTTCACAGGAACTGTAGTTTCATTAAATTCTCACATGCTGCGAGATTGGTTTATTATCTCCATTTTACAGATAAGAAACTTGAAACCCAAGAGTCTTTGTAAGTTGCCCAGAGTCACATCACTGGTGAGTGACAGAAACTGGAGTCCTCATCCAAACTATCCCTGACCTCAGCACAGGATGCCAAGTGGGAGACACCAGGAGATGGTGTCCACAAGGGCCAGTGATCAAAGGAAGTAGCAGACAAAAAAACCCAAAAAACAAAAACACTACACACCCTTCTCTAAAATTTTACGTGAGAGCTGAGGGTTCAAGTGAATATTTCTTTCCCTTCTGGAAGACTCCTCATGAAGGTAGTAGAATAAATAATTATCCATAAAGCATTATCAGGCATTCATCCCTAAGAGATGTTTACTGATGTCTGTTCAGTTTTTTTTTTTTTTAGATGGAATCTCATTCTATCACCCAGGCTGGAGTGCAATGGCATGATCTCAGCTCACTGCACCCTCTGCCTCCCAGGTTCAAGCAATTCTCATGTCTCAGCCTCACAAGAAGCTGGAATTGCAGGCGCATGCCACCACTGCCAGCTAACTTTGCATTTTTATGAGAGATAGGTTTGGCCATGTTGCCCTGAGCTCGAAACTCCTGGCCTCAAGTAATCACCTGCCTCTGCCTCCCAAAGTGCTGTTATTACAGATGTGAGCCACTGCACCTGGTCTCTTCAGTCTATTTTTAAAGGATTATACTGTTAGTATCCAACAATTATTTCTCTTCCTACCGGGTAAACTTCTGTCCAGAACCTGTGTTTTAATCGCTTCTTTGTCTTCTTCAGTTGCTTATTATGCTTGAAGGAGTCGAGGTGGGTGAGAACTCCCATAATTTTAGGAAAGCCGTGTACTTGACAGATGTTTAGAAACTCAAACGTTTCCATTTCAAATCCAAAGCTGGCATCTATAAGCATCAGTACCTAAAAGCAGAACACATCATTTCTTAAAGAAACTACCAAACAGACCACCTACACTAGGGGTTGGCAACTGGCCCATGGGCCAAATCCAGCGCAACTCCTGTTTTTGTAACTAAACTTTAATTAGGACACAGCCACGTAATTCATTTACATATTGTGTATGGCTGCCTGTGCACTACAGCTGCAGAGCTAAGTAGCTGCAAGAGATACATGATCCACAAAGCCAAAAATATTTACTTTCTGGCCCTTGATAGAAAAGTCCCAATCCAGACTAAATCAAATGACTAATAGGCATCACCCTATTAGTGAGAAACAACCACCCTCTGACTTGCTCTAAAAGGCAACCATAAGACAATGGCCACTAGGATACAAACTTTCATTTTAAGAATTTTAATGTATGAGTAGTACTCAGAAAAGGCTGGGGCTAACCTGGACCTTACCTAAGAAATCCTAATTTAAAGAAGTAAAGTTTTCTGTAAGGTATTTTTAAGCCAAATAACAGGTCTCTTGACACCCAAAGAATGGGAAGAAAAGGATAATCAATGAAATATTAAATGTCTTAATCTCCTCATAGGAAAAAAAAATCTGTTTTTTGCTGGGAAGTATGCAGTGGAAACCTTTATCTTATATGTTGATTTGTATAACTCAATTGCTCAGAATTTTTTTTTGAATTAAGTCAAAAAACAGTACGATTATGATGACTGGTAGTCTATAAGAAAATTTAAGCAGGTAAGACCAATTTTTTAAATTTAAGACACTTCAAAGATGCAAAATAATTTCAGAATCAATTCCTGGAAACTTCCGGTTTTAATATTAAAGACATTTCTGTTCTTATCTTTCCTTAGATAACTAAAAATAACAAAAAAATGGAAAAAGAAATGCCCATCTTTGATTAAACTGAGAACATTAAAAATCTGAAACCACAGAATATATGAAGCTGGGCTTGTGAGAAAGCACAGCTGCCACTGCAGACTGAGGCAGCGAGCAGAGCCCTCCAGCAACACTGGACCAGCTCAAAGGATAGGTGGAGTATCTTCACACCACATCTGATGCCACAGAGTGCCAAGGGGCAAGCAGCTGGTTGTAGTAGGGTCAGGAAGAACAGGGGGCAAACAGTACCTCAGCTGCCAATCTTTGTCATCTTAGCCAGTGTTACTCCCTTAATCCACACACACGTACGCACCTAAATTTACATATAGTGTGTGCCTCTGCATACTCAGGAGGCTTTAACAACCCATAGCAGAGCAAGCAACATAAGCTAGGCTAAGTAAATTATGGTGCATCCATAGGAGGCAGAACTACAATACTTACTGATTACATACCTCTGAGATATATTACAAGAAAAAAGCAAAGGACAGAACAGTGTGTCAAATAAGCTACCATTTGTGTTTTTAAAGGGTGGCGTGTGTGTTTATATGCATCTGGAAGGATACTGCTCTGCAGGGATCTGAGGGACCAGCAGTTAGAGCAGGGAAAAGAAAATGTGCATTGTGTGTACCCTGCAATACAGTTAGAGTACTTTACCCTGTGTGTGTTCCTTTTGAAAATCTTAAAAAGATTTACATAGTAGGCATCTCTCTCAATGATGGTTAAGAGGCTGGGACGGGTGGCAGGGAGGGAGGGACAAAGAGGGAAAGGTTAACAGGTAAAAACATACACTTCAATAAAATAAACTCTAGTGTCCAACAGCACGATAGGGTGGCTATAATTTTAATTTAGAATAACTAAAAGAATGAAATCGAAATGTTCCTAATACAAAGAAATGATCAATGTTTGAGGTGATAGATATCCTAATTACCCTGATTTGATCATCACACATTGTATACTTCTATCAAAATACCACATGTGCCCCATAAATATGTACAACTATTATGTATTCATAATAATTAAAAATAAAAATGTAATGGCATCTCTTAATATGTATGTCTTCAAAATTAGAAACTTACTGAATTTTAAATAAGAGAAACAAATGACTTCTTTCAACTATCCCAATCATTTCAAGTACACAAGATTTAGTAAGCCTACACTACATTAATAACAACACATTTTTATTAACAGCAGCATTACATGTTCAAAATTTGAATGTCATTTAGCTTCCTGACATTACAATGACACATCTTTAAAATCTGTATTACTTTTACTTCGTCATTTAGGAGTTTCCTGGGCCAAAGTATAAAATCTGTAGTTCTCTGTCACCAAACAGCTGTCCAGAAAAAACTAAATAAAAATGAAAAAACCAAGGTATCTGTCAGCCCACACTTCCTAATCAGTATGTTTTCTTTTTTACTAATTTGTATTTTATTTTTGCTAATTTAAAAAACAGTTAATAGAATATCAGAAAATAGTGAACCTTACCATTTCCATAAATGCAAGTGTGTGTACGTTTTCCATACACTGAGTACTGTCTATATTTTCTATTGATAAACTCTGACTACTTCTTGAGGGCAATTCATATACTTACTTATCATTACCATTAAGGAGGAAGGCTCTAGAACCATTGGGAACAAGGGTCCCACCTTCACACATTACTTAACTGCTGGGAGGCTCTATTTCATCTTATGGAAACAACAGGTAATACCTACTCATCTCAAGGGTGTATCAAGGGTTTATGTAAGCTAAATTTGTAGAAAGCAGTTAGCACAGTGCCAGGAAGGGTCCAGGAAGAAACAGTACTGACTACGATATATTTGAACGTATGTATATGTGTGTATATATATATGTATATACACACATACGCACACATATACATACATTCATTATACAACTCATTAACTTGCGTGTGTGTTTATGTATATACATGTATGTATATATATATGTGTGTGTGTATATATGTGTGTGTGTGTGTGTGTGTGTGTGTGTGTGTGTGTACATAAGCTGTAAATCTCCATCAGCACCCCAGGCTGCCCCTGCTGACTTACCAGATCTGCTACTTTAGCCAGATCAATCATCATGTTAATGTCACATCCACATTCAATAATGGTGAGTCTGCGCTTTTTACCTATAAGTGAAAAGATAAAAAGTTTACTTTAAAAAGACTCTGAAAAAACTCTAAGCATCAACTCTAATTCTCATGTTTTAACTGTAGCCAGTAAAACACCATATATGTTTACAGGAGTATACTAGAAGTTCATTTTTATAGGCAAAAACTGGTAACACAAAATAAATTTCATCTTGTTTTTCTTTCTGTGTCCTAAACTGAAATAATATCAGAAGTCTACCCAAATGAATAAAAGTGCTCACACAGAGAAAATCCTGACTGGACAGCCTTCATGATAACCATGATCCTGCTGTTCAGCTGCAGGCCAATGTCTTCGCTTCTATCAAAACTTCCCGTATTCCCATTATAGCTAAAAACATCCTCAAACATAATGCAACAGAATATTCATAACAATAATTATTTCTAAATTAAGATAAAAAGAAAATGGTCAAGAAAATATGGGTTGGACACAGTGGTTCACGCCTTTAGTCCCAAAACCTTGGGAGGCCAATGCAGGCAGATCCCTGGAGCCCAGGAGTTTTGAGACCAGCCTGGGTCACATGGGGAAACCCCATCTCTACAGGGAAAGAAGAAAAAAAAAAAAAAAAAATACAAACAGAAATATTAGCCAGGCATAGTGGCATACACTACTCAGAAGGCTAAGGTGGGGGATTGCTTGAGCCTAGGAGGTTGAGGCTGCAGTGAGCTGTAATCACCCCACTGCACTCCAGTCTGTGCCACAGAATAAGACTCCGTCTCAAAAAAAAGAAAATATGGATGCTCCAAAGATAAAGAAAAGCCTCAATCCAACTATATTATTGCAATAACAAAAGATTTCAGACTGTACATTGCCATTCTACCACTGGAAGGTTGTTTCATTTTCCCTCAAACTTGGAAAGGTTACCATCTCCCAAAGCAGACAAATTATCATAGGAAAAAGAGAAAACTCATTTCCACAAGTATGTGACTTCATAGGGGCAAGCATATGTGCCTGGCACATAGGAAGTGTGTGCTATCTGTTAAATAATGTGTTTGTGAGGTGACCAGGCCTCCTAGGCCCTTCCAAGGAACATACCTGGCAAAGCCATAGGGCATTCATGATAAGGCATGTATCACATCCTTATCTCGGAGAACTTACCCTTTTCTGAAGCTATAGCCAACTTAGTAAAAGCATAAGAGAGGTTAACATGATATGACAATCTTTAATATGTTCCAGTCAAGAAAACAACAAACACATCCATGTCCCTCAGATGACAACAGCCACGCCAACTGTGTCTGTGGCAGCATCTCCTACCTGACACGATCGTCACCGGGCCTCTGATCTCCGTCAACTTCTGCCGGGTGAAGTTCCGAATGAGGCATTGTATCAAAGTGCTCTTTCCAACTTTTGGAGGCCCCATCACCACCACCACTATTGGTGGGGGCTCTAGTGGAGTTCGATCAACCACTGGAATATGATGCTTTTTTGTCTTCAAATCCTGAGTCCTATTCATGAAAACCAAAAATAGTAAACTCATTTTCAAAAGAGAGTAAAAGGTATCAATCTTATAAGTAGGCTTTTTTTTAGTATACTTACAGAGAGTACTTTAGTATTTTAGAGAGTACAACAGACAATATACAAATATATTAACTTGTTAATTATTGGCTTATTAATTTCTGGCCCCATCCAAATAATTGCTATTCAATAACATGTAAGAAGATGATTTCAATAGTATATAGAGTTGAAAATTAAAACGCTCCTTAAATCTGACTGGGTTTTATGAGTGATTTTAATAGTAAAAGGTAACTACCGAGGCAGTGCCATCATAACAGATGAGAGCAGAAGCTCTAGAGTTAAATTTGGCTCTCCTATTTACTGGTTATATGATTGGAGGTAACTTGTTTTCTTGACCTCAGTTTTCTTACCCCAAAATGAGGGCAGCCTTACTCTGGTAAGGCTGTTGGAAACATTTAGTTGAAAAATGTTTATAGTACATTGCTAGGCATATCACAAGGACTCACTAAACAAAGCTATGTTAGTATTAAATACCATAATTTTTGTATTTTATATTACAACTATGTAAACATATCCAGAGGGAAATAGCACATTTATCATCACAGAAACAGTTTAAACTTTAGAAACAAACAAATTCTATGAATTCTTTTATCTTGGGCAAGAAACACCAAACAGCATGCAGATGCTGAAGGCAAGGCAGCTTCTATGGGAAAGGTTTCTCATGTTTTAGTGAAAGCCACACAGCATGCATCTCCATGTCCTCTGGAGCTGGACTAGATTTGTGAATCCAAATGTCACCTGTGAGAGGCTCCTATTATTTAAAAGCATCAACAGAAGAACCACCAGACTGTAGCCAAACATACCTGTGAAAGGATCGAGCCATCCGCACGGCAGACTGAACTGCAAAAGCTTTGGGATTTCTCTTCCGGGCATCTTCTTCGTCTCCTAGCTGGAGATCCTGCAGATGCCGCTTCTTTTTCTTTTCAGCTTTGGGCCCACTGTTTTTCTTTCTGTGTTTCTTCTGGTCCTTAGCCTCCATAGCGACTATTTACCAATAACAAGTAATTCTAACCTACAAGGAAGAAGGTTGGGGTAAGGATGTGGGAGAAGCATTTTACAATCCAGGCAATACCCAGGGAAAAAACAGTAAATTTCATTTATTTCTTTATGAAGAAATAGTGTATTTCTTCACTGAACAAGGGTAGAAACTGCTTAACCATCCCCAATTTCATTTCTGTTACGCTATAAATTAGATGAGTCACCTCTGCTAAGGTTACATTTTATGTTGTTACTTTTTAATCATCTTAAGTGTCCATATCAACAGTATTTATTTCTGCAAGGATGGAAATATTCTATATCTCTACTTTTCAGCCATTTAGCCATTCACCACATGTGGTTACTTAAAATGTACTTAGGGAAAATGAAAAAATGAATTTTTAATTGATTCCACTCTATAAGTGGTCACATGTGGCTACCATACTGGACAGCACAGACTTAGATATCAACGGGACTAATGAAGTGATTTCCTAACTTAAAGTAAAACTTAAATTTCAATAAAAAATGTAAAAACTTTTTTTTTTCTTGAGGCAGAGTTTTGTTCTTGTCGCCCAGGATGGAATGCAGTGGCAAAATCTTGGCTCGCTGCAACCTCCATCTCCCAGGTTCAAAGCGATTCTCCTGCCTCAGCCTCCCAAGTAGCTGGGATTACAGGCATGCACCACCACACCCCGCTAATTTTGCATTTTTAGTAGAGACGGGGTTTCACCATGTTGGCCAGGCTGGTTTTGAACTCCTGACCTCAGGTGATCCACCCGCCTCGGCCTCAGATTACAGGTGTGAGCCACTGCGCCAGGCCTAAAAACGTTTTTATGAACCTCCAATATGACCGCAGTATTACTTTTAGTACTTGTTGACTCTGTAAAACTTCTAAATTACAACTCATCTACATACATTTGAAAAATAGAAGTTATCTGTATGTGTGAGAAATGACTGGTTCTAGATGATACCTGGAGACTCCATGGACTTACAGAGACCCTTCCAGTGATTTCTGAGCTACCTGGCAATATGTGGCCAATAAATTGGTAATCACTGAATTAGTGAGCTTTTAAGAAATCAGGATACACAAAATCTGACAGCTTGTTTTTAAAAAGGTGGGGCAGGGTGCCATTTCGTTCAATTAAGGTGCTGTATTAATTTCGTTTAATAAATATTTGTGTCTGTCTATGATGTGCTAGGCACTGTGCCAGTAAATGGGTACAGCTATGATCTGACTTGCAGAGGGAAATCCAAAGTAGTATCTTCCACGCCATGCAATGAGGGATACATTGGAAGGCTGCACTGGAGTATGGAGGTGAGTAGGCTTCCCACAGGCACATACACCAGTGTGGAAAAAGAGTTTTTTTTTTTTTAGACAAGAGTCTCGCTCTGTCACCAGGCTGGAGTGCAGTGGCGCCATCTCAGCTAACTGCAACCTATGCCTCCCGGGTTCAAGAGGTTTTCCAGCCTCCGCCTCCGGAGTAGCTGGGACTACAGTTAGGCGCCACCACGCCCAGCTAATTTTTTTTTTGCATTTTTAGTGGAGACGGGTTTCACTAAGTTGGCCAGGATGGTCTCGATCTGTTGACCTAGCGATCCGCACATCCCGGCCTTTCACTGGGATTACTGGCGTAAGCCACCCCGCCGGGCCCATTAAGTCTTTACAAATCAACAGAAATTCAAGGAACGCTGGTGGGAGGTTAGGAGAGCTGGGCACTAGGAGATCTTTGAAACTTAACAGCTGTGTGATTTCAGAGATTATGTTTCTTCTCTACTATATTTTAGTTCCGAACTTGTAATATTTTTCTCTCCATGTCTTTCTTCTTGGTGGGAAAAGCACAATTTGGGGTCAACAGATCCGGCTCAGGTCTAAGTCGCCTGCCAGGATCCCATCTCCAGGAAACGATGTCTCTCTGTGCTACCTTCCCTCACCGTCCCGTCACTCTTCGAACCATCCCGGCACACCTCCCACAGATGCGAAATAAGCCGATTCTCCGGAGCAAAGATAACGCGGAGGACCGGGGAACGACCTTCCCACCCGCACGACTGGCGAGCCTCCCAGTGTCCAAGACCCAGGGACCTTACCGCCACCTACCACAGCCAGGCACTGAATCGGATGTCAATCGCAACTCAACTCCGCATGGAAGCCACCGGAAACGGAAATTCACCATCGCGCTGACTCGCCGGAGGGAAACAAGAAGGCAATAAAATGAAACCGGCCGGGGGACGACTTTCAGTGGAGAGCCGGAAGAACGAGCCGTGAACAGCTGAGTGTACGTGCAGGCGCTGTCCACGCAGTGCGGTCCGAAAGATCCGCGTCCCTTCTCATTCCGCCCCTCCCGCCCTCGGAATCCGCGGCCTCAACTCCCGCGGTGGGACTCCCCAGCAGCGTGCACCACGCTCGCCGGAGTCCTCCCGGAAGGCCAGGGCGGCTGTGAGACCTGGCGCCGGTTACTTGGTGTGTTACAAAAGCCGGAAGGAGACACATTTGGCCCTGTCCGCCCCGGGGTCACCGTGCCTGGGAGGAATGGACTATTGCTCGATTGGGAGTCCACTTCCTCCTCATTAAAGATGACAGATGAGGGACATCTCGCGTTCCGGGGTACCCTAAAGCCCTCTTTTGGCCGGGCGCGGTGGCTCACCCCTGTAATCCCAGCACTTCGGGAGACCGAGGCGGGAGGATCGCTTGAGCCTGGGAGTTCAAGACCAGCCTTCTCGCGGTTGACGGGCGCGGGGGGAGGGGGAAATTAGCCGGAGTCTTGGCTGGCGCCTGTAGTCCCAGCTACTCTGGGGGCTGAGGCGGGAGAATCGCTTGAGCCCTGGAGGTGGGGGTTGCAAGTGAGCTGAGATTGAGCCACTGCACTCCAGCCTGGGAGGGGGAGCGAGACACTATTTCAAAGAACAATAAATAAAATAAGGCCCTCTTTTTTTTTTTTTTTTTTATTTTTTATTGGATTATAGGTTTTGGGGTACATGAGCAGAGCATGCAAGACAGTTGCGTAGGTACACACATGGCAGTGTGCTTTGCTTTTCTTCTCCCCTTCACCCACATTTGGCATTTCTCCCCAGGCTATCCCTCCCCACCTCCCCCTCCCACTGGCCCTCCCCTTTTCCCCCCAATAGACCCCAGTGTTTAGTACTCCCCTTTCTGTGTCCATGTGTTCTCATTTTTCATCACCCACCTATGAGTGAGAATATGCGGTGTTTCATTTTTTGTTCTTGTGTCAGTTTGCTGAGGATGATGTTTTCCAGATTCATCCATGTCCCTACAAACGACACGAACTCATCATTTCTGATTGCTGCATAATATTCCATGGTGTATATGTGCCACATTTTTCCAATCCAGTCTATTATCAATGGGCATTTGGGTTGATTCCAGGTCTTTGCTATTGTAAACAGTGCTGCAATGAACATTCGTGTACATGTGTCCTTATAGTAGAACGATTTATAGTCTTTTGGATATATACCCAGTAATGGGATTGCTGGGTCAAATGGAATTTCTATTTCTAAGGCCTTGAGGAATCGCCACACTGTCTTCCACAATGGTTGAACTAATTTACACTCCCACCAACAGTGTAAAAGTGTTCCATTTTCTCCACATCCTCTCCAGCATCTGTTGTCTCCAGATTTTTTAGTGATCGCCATTCTAACTGGCGTGAGATGGTATCTCAATGTGGTTTTGATTTGCATCTCTCTGATGACCAGTGACGAGCATTTTTTCATATGATTGTTGGCCTCATATATGTCTTCTTTCGAAAAGTATCTGTTCATATCCTTTGCCCACTTTTGAATGGGCTTGTTTGTTTTTTTCCTGTAAATCTGCTTGAGTTGTTTGTAAATTCTGGATATCAGCCCTTTGTCAGATGGGTAAACTGCGAAAATTTTTTCCCATTCTGTTGGTTGCCGATCCACTCTAGTGACTGTTTCTTTTGCCGTGCAGAAGCTGTGGAGTTTCATTAGGTCCCATTTGTCTATTTTGGCTTTTGTTGCCAATGCTCTTGGTGTTTTGTTCATGAAGTCCTTGCCTACTCCTATGTCCTGGATAGTTTTGCCTAGATTTCCTTCTAGGGTTTTTATGGTGCCAGGTCTTATGTTTAAGTCTTTAATCCATCTGGAGTTAATTTTAGTGTAAGGTGTCAGGAAGGGGTCCAGTTTCTGCTTTCTGCACATGGCTAGCCAGTTTTCCCAACACCATTTGTTAAACATGGAATCCTTGCCCCATTGCTTGTTTTTGTCAGGTTTATCAAAGATTGTATAGTTGTATGTATGTTGTGTTGACTCCGGTGCCTCTGTTTTGTTCCATTGGTCTATATCTCTGTTTTGGTACCAGTACCATGCTGTTTTGATTACTGTAGCCTTGTAGTATAGTTTGAAATCCGGTAGTGTGATGCCCCCCGCTGTGTTCTTTTTGCTTAGAATTGACTTGGCTATGCGGGCTCTCTTTTGGTTCCATATGAAGTTCATGGTGGTTTTTTCCAGTTCTGTGAAGAAAGTCAATGGTAGCTTGATGGGGATAGCGTTGATTCTGTAAATTACTTTGGGCAGTATAGCCATTTTCACGATATTAATTCTTCCTAACCATGAACATGGAATGTTTCTCCATCTGTTTGTGTCCTCTCTGATTTCGTTGAGCAGTGGTTTGTAGTTCTCCTTGAAGAGGTCCCTTACGTTCCTTGTGAGTTGTATTCCAAGGTATTTTATTCTTTTTGTAGCAATTGCGAATGGCAGTTCGCTCTTGATTTGGCTTTCTTTAAGTCTGTTATTGGTGTAGACGAATGCTTGTGATTTTTGCACATTGATTTTATATCCTGAGACTTTGCTGAAGTTGTTTATCAGTTTCAGGAGTTTTTGGGCTGAGGCGATGGGGTCTTCTAGGTATACTATCATGTCGTCTGCAAATAGAGACAATTTGGCTTTCACCTTTCCTATTTGAATACCCTTTATTTCTTTTTCTTGCCTGATTGCTCTGGCTAGAACTTCCAGTACTATATTGAATAGGAGTGGTGAGAGAGGGCATCCTTGTCTAGTGCCAGATTTCAACGGGAATGCTTCCAGTTTTTGCCCATTCAGTATGATATTGGCTGTTGGTTTGTCATAAATAGCTTTATTACTTTGAGATACGTTCCATCGATACCGAGTTTATTGAGGGTTTTTAGCATAAAGGGCTGTTGAATTTTGTCAAATGCCTTCTCTGCGTCAATTGAGATAATCACGTGGTTTTTGTTTTTGGTTCTGTTTATGTGGTGAATTACGTTGATAGACTTGCGTATGTTGAACCAGCCTTGCATCCCTAGGATGAATCCTACTTGATCATGATGAATAAGTTTTCTGATTTGCTGTTGCAATCGCCTTGCCAATATTTTATTGAAGATTTTTGCATCTATGTTCATCATGGATATTGGCCTGAAGTTTTCTTTTCTCGTTGGGTCTCTGCCGGGTTTTGGTATCAGGATGATGTTGGTCTCATAAAATGATTTGGGAAGGATTCCCTCTTTTTGGATTGTTTGAAATAGTTTTAGAAGGAATGGTACCAGCTCCTCCTTGTGTGTCTGGTAGAATTCGGCTGTGAACCCATCTGGACCTGGGCTTTTTTGTGAGGTAGGCTCTTAATTGCTGCCTCAACTTCAGACCTTGTTATTGGTCTATTCATAGTTTCAGCTTCCTCCTGGTTTAGGCTTGGGAGGACACAGGAGTCCAGGAATTTATCCATTTCTTCCAGGTTTACTAGTTTATGTGCATAGAGTTGTTTGTAATATTCTCTGATGATGGTTTGAATTTCTGTGGAATCTGTGGTGATTTCCCCTTTATCATTTTTTATTGCATCTATTTGGTTGTTCTCTCTTTTATTTTTAATCAATCTGGCTAGTGGTCTGTCTATTTTGTTGATCTTTTCAAAAAACCAGCTCTTGGATTTATTGATTTTTTGAAGGGTTTTTCGTGTCTCAATCTCCTTCAGCTCAGCTCTGATCTTAGTAATTTCTTGTCTTCTGCTGGGTTTTGAGTTCTTTTGATCTTGCTCCTCTAGCTCTTTCAATTTAGACGATAGGGTGTCAATTTTGGATCTCTCCATTCTCCTCATATGGGCACTTATTGCTATATACTTTCCTCTAGAGACTGCTTTAAATGTGTCCCAGAGGTTCTGGCACGTTGTGTCTTCATTCTCATTGGTTTCGAAGAACTTCTTTATTTCTGCCTTTATTTCGTTGTTTACCCAGTCAACATTCAAGAGCCAGTTGTTCAGTTTCCATGAAGCTGTGCGGTTCTGGGTCGGTTTCTGAATTCTGAGTTCTAACTTGATTGCACTATGGTCTGAGAGGCTGTTTGTTATGATTTCAGTTGTTTTGCATTTGTTGAGCAGTGCTTTACTTCCAATTATGTGGTCAATTTTAGAGTAGGTGTGATGTGGTGCTGAGAAGAATGTGTATTCTGTGGATTGGGGTGGAGAGTTCTGTAAATGTCCACCAGGTTTGCTTGCTCCAGGTCTGAGTTCAAGCCCTGGATATCCTTGTTGATTTTCTGTCTGGTTGATCTGTCTAGTATTGACAGTGGAGTGTTAAAGTCTCCCACTATTATTGTGTGGGAGTCTAAGTCCTTCTGTAAGTCATTAAGAACTTGCCTTATGTATCTGGGTGCTCCTGTGTTGGGTCCATATATGTTTAGGATCGTTAGCTCTTCTTGTTGTATCGATCCTTTTACCATTATGTAATGGCCTTCTTTGTCTCTTTTGATCTTTGTTGCTTTAAAGTCTATTTTATCAGAGATGAGAATTGCAACTCCTGCTTTTTTTTGCTTTCCATTAGCTTGGTAAATCTTCCTCCATCCTTTTATTTTGAGCCTTTGTGTATCCTTGCATGTGAGATGGGTTTCCTGGATACAGCACACTGATGGGTTTTGGATTTTTATCCAATTTGCCAGTCTGTGTCTTTTGATTGGTGCATTTAGTCCATTTACATTTAGGGTTAATATTGTTATGTGTGAATTTGATACTGCCATTTTGATTCTAAGTGGCTGTTTTGCCTGTTAGTTGTTGTAGATTCTTCATTATGTTGATGCTCTTTAGCATTCAGTGTGATTTTGGAATGGCTGGTACTGATTGATCCTTTCTATGTGTAGTGCCTTTTTTAGGAGCTCTTGTAAAGCAGGCCTGGTGGTGACAAAATCTCTGAGTACTTGCTTGTTCGCAAAGGATTTTATTCTTCCTTCACTTCTGAAGCTCAGTTTGGCTGGATATGAAATTCTGGGTTGAAAGTTCTTTTCTTTAAGAATGTTGAATATTGGCCCCCACTCTCTTCTGGCTTGTAGTGTTTCTGCCGAGAGATCTGCTGTGAATCTGATGGGCTTCCCTTTGTGGGTGACCCGACCTTTCTCTCTGGCTGCCCTTAGTATTCTCTCCTTTATTTCAACCC